GGAGTGGGTGAGGAATGCTCGGGTCGGGCCAGTGGCCGCACCGGGTTGATCTGCTGGTGCAGACAAGGGGGAATCCACATTGGTTATGACAGGAATGTGAGAGCAGGATATCATTAGACGCATGGGAGCTGCAGCTAAGGCCTCAAACAGCATGCAGCAACGCAAACAGAGATACACTGACACAGACCCACACACTGGGAGAGTTTGGGTTACAGAACACTTGCAAGGATTGAACATTAAGGTTGGATCAAAATGGAAGCCGACTCTCTGACATGAAATATTATGCTGTGGTATGCAGAGCTGATATTTTCCAACTTCTTCCGTTTCAAAAATCTTTTTATTGGTGGGCAACCAAGATGTAACGTAGAGCCCTGGTGAGCCGGTGACAATAGTAAAACTTCTTCACAACAAACTGTTCATTCCACCTCGATTCAGTTCTTCTATTTAAAGGGAGATTCCACCGATCTGTTTCGGGGTTTCTGGGACTGCAACTACAGTACATAATGTGAAGAAAGCAAGGTGTGTAATTGCCTCAAGTGATGTTACTTGAGTCGGCATCGGTTGGGGGAGAAGACTATAAGTCTGAAAAGGAAAACATCTGGTTGTGGCGTTAGAAAGACGTGACCTTACCACACCTCTGTAGCACGCTTGAGGCTATAGCAGCTTGAAGCCACATAAACCGCTGCTGACTCAACATACCGGAATCTAACGACTTAGCTGTCTGCGATCAAGTTGCATTATGGGTAATGTAGGCAACAGGTTTTTGACAAGTGAGAGTAATGCATAGAATATAAATTGTTTTCTAGAAAACAGTATCAAAAATAAACATGAACAGAATGACTCCTTTCAGACTTATCTATTATAAAATAGTATCGTATAAAAGTATATAATAGTTCACACTGAAATGTAGGAGTATAAAAGGATGTTGGAAGAAGTATTCAAATTAACTTCAGCAGAAGTAGCAAAGGCAAACCATATACATGTATACAATACAAAAAGTATTATTTTATAGTTTATTACTTACTGTTTGCCAAAGGAGATCCGTAGGCCGAGGAAGATGTCCCGCCCCATCGCTCCATCTATTCAAACGTGTCAAAAGGCCCGACATACTCTCCTGTTTCCATTTATCACAGTTAACTTCTGAATCCCCAGACCACACACTGATACACACTTCTTACCTACAGAAACTCGAACGAAGTCATGAGTCATGTTTGGCGAGGAGGGAGATGATTACAGCTTGGGGAAGAGGATGAGAGGGTCAGGGACACTCGACAAACCGTGGAGTCTTTTATATGGAAATCTGGACGATGTTTCTGTCTTTCATGAAGCAGCGTGTTTGTTTCCACGGCTGCTTTTGTGTTTGGACCTTTAACCCGACTTCACAGGGAAAGTGCTTGAAAGCCAACTGAAGTATTTTACCATGTAGCATACTTTAGAAGTTTATCCTCCCAGGTGCAGTCATCATTCCTGTGTTTTATAGAAAAACCTTGCTTTAACCTTTCCTTGGAAAATGAAGGTTGCCTCATTAATATGCAATATTCAGATGTTTGAAATGCAGGGACAAACCTTGTTTTAAATAAAATGCATGTATGCATATTGGAGATGGGCTCATTTGCATTTCAGATGTGTTTAATTACCTATATTTGCATGCATCAAATTCCTACAGCTGTGCTCGATTTATTGAGTTTTTTTTTACATAACCTGAGAGCTGCTCGTTTTCTAAATGACGGAATTTAGGTCCAGATCTGAAGAGAAAACATGGAACCAATGATGAGTCTGCACCAAACTGATGAACACTGGGAGAATACCACACACATAAAATACATTTAGTATCATGTCCCCTTTATATATAATTCAGACACTGGACGAGGAATTCCACCCACAGCAGATTTGCTTTCTGTGCCAACATAGCTCATCTTGAGATAAACAGGGCAACAGCAGAGCTACCCGCTGAAGGAACACAGCTACCTTCCGACTGAATGCACTAACAGCATGTAGGCTCCGCTCTGCCACTGAGCATCACTCTCTGCAGCAGGCAGAGCCAGTGGAGCGAAAGAAAAGACAGGAGGATGGAGGAGATGATGAGGCTATATGTCCGAGACCTGCTGCAACCGATACAATAACACTGCGAGAGCAGCACGAGACATATTGCTATTCAGACAGAGGGAGCGGATTCTTTGAGGCCATGTATCCTGTGTGCCTGCCTGAGGGGTACACACGGTATTATGAAAGGGATTCGAGTTGACACAAGTCACAGTCGCTCCATCGCCGGTGTGGAGGAGGGGAGATGAATTATTCAACCAGCCGGCGCTGCTCGGCTCTGACGTCTTGTTGTGTCTTATGGGGAGGTGAAGTGAGCCGGCGACAACAGGCAGCACCTCCTCACAAGGCGGCCGTCACATGACAGCCCCAGGATGGAGCATCCAAGGAACCTTGATTTTCCCGAGGACAGGGCATCATTTCAGAGAGCAGCAGTAGAATAATAGCTCCCTCTCAAAATGACAGCCATCACTGCGGCACACCATCACAGATTGCTGGTCCATCACTCCCCCACACGCAGGATGAAATGACAGCCCTGCCCCGCTGATAGCAAGGCATCTCAGCCTGAGTAAGTGTTCCTTCTGGCTAAGCCTGGCTTTGATGTTATTATACCGAAGCAGTGCAATATTCGGCTCTGAGATTTACTACCTGCTGCTGGGGAGATCTCCTAAAGCTCGGTGTTTGTGAAACGGAGGAAACAGAAAGCTGAAATAAAATAAGAAAAAGGGAATGCTTGATCTGTTCTGCAACACATTTCAACCGTCAAGCAAAAACTCTATTATTCAAAATGTAGGAAGGAGTATTATCAAAACAGACCCGGCATCAGCTCCCCTGCTCAGCGTGAGAATTACATTTCACATATGAAAACAAAGAAACTGGGGGAATCGAGGGCGTTTTGTTTCGTTCTTTGGTTTTGTTCGCAGTTCAGCGAATGAGCAGAGTAATCAAAATTGTTTACCCTTGAAACAGGATTATTGTGTCTCACGGCTGATGGGATTTAGCAGTCTGCTCTACCTCAGCATACAAACACACGCATTCACAGAGAAAGAAATACGATGCATCAGAAGGCACGAAAAAAGAAATCAAGTCGCTTCTTGTGGTGTAACTTAGTCGTTTATTTTAATTCCACAAATTTTTCAAAAAAATTACAAAATACTCAAATGGAGAGAACACAGGACTCACAATTTTTCTTATTATTTCTACTTTTTGTTTACATTGTGTCATCCCATGGCGACTACTCATATATACAATAAGCTTCAAGATACCAGTATATATATAAATCTTAGCAGTCAGAATTTACATTCTGCTATTGCCGCTTTGAAACAAGAAGCTAAACCATTGACAACACTTAACATCAAAGGTTTTGGAGACACAAAAAGAGGGAGTAAAAGGCGAGGGAATCGTCAGGAAAACGAGGCAAAGATGATGAGGAGTACGTCGTCAGAAGAGACAGGAGGCGGGAGATGGCAAGACAAAATGGCGGGTCGAAGACTTTTTTGGGGGATATTTAAAAAGGGGGCATGAGTTTGATGTTGTTTGCAAGTGTTTAAATGTAAATTATAGTGCTCCAAGGGAAGATATGGTCACTTTTAAATGCAAGTACAGTTTCTTCATTTGGTTAAAAGAAATTTAAAAAAGAAGCCACAGTTGTGTAAATGTCCATGACGGTCAAACAGTCTTAGTGCATGGAACGAAAGCGGAACTCATCATGACTAGAGCTAAAAAAACAAAACGTGGGCTCATGTGCACTGGTATGACAGGTCAACACAACTTGCAACAGTCAGTGGCGCACACACACACACACACACACACACACACACACACACACACATCGTCGACCCTCTGTCTCTTGGTCGTCACGTGTCGTCCCCCCCCCCCCCCCCAGTGTCACAGTGAACATTATTACAGCCTAGCTGGAGGATGACTCAGTCAGACATGAGCCCTGCAACAAACATTTTGGTGACTGCACCGGGTGGAGAAAAGAGGACAACCACAACACAGCTAGCACCGAGTCACAACCATTCACACGTTTAAAACAATCCTGAAGTCCCGTTAGCCTCCTGATATCGTGAACATAGTTAAAATCCAGGTCCTGGGTATTTAAAAACAAAAAACAGCAACTTGAAATTTAAAATTTCTTCAGTTCAGCCAAATGCGTTTTTGGCGTCCACATGTTTAAAATCATAATTAAAAATCATCCTCTGTAAAAACAAAAGAAAGTAATGAAATATAGATTTTTAAGTGAAAGCATGAAACCAATCGAGTGGAGCTCAAGGAAACTCTCTCAGTGCAAACTTCTGTTTTCTCTTTAGTCCACGGCTTCGGTGACGGCCGTGTCACCACTTCAAGTGTTTCAAATCATTAACTCAACGCGTTGAGTTTACACATTCTAACAACCTGCTGCGTGTCAAAGGTGTGTGGATGAATGGATGTGGGTGTGACAGCTTTATGGTTTACATAGTTCATGTGGGACTAAATCTAACACAGTGACGTCAGAGGAACGTTACAACTGAACCACGACTCTCTCAGAAACTGCTCATATAATGCCATGGGGCTCCCCTCTGAAACAAGGGATAATGCTTCAAAACAATTATATTGGAGGTTGAAACGACTTGGTTTGGAGTCCACACCTAGTAATAATAATAATTATAATAATAATTATATGTTTATATATACTATTTACAGACTCAAAAAACGCCATGCTGTAGCTTTTCTCAAAATTATGAAAAACCTCCAACAATGTATTAAAATAAATGTCGAGTTTAAGATAGCACTTGTTATTTTTCCATAAACGGCCTGACCGGACTTGTCCTTTTTTTTTTTTTGTTTGTTGATAAGCACAGTGTCTTGTTCTAGCACCTACAAAAAAAAATATCAGGGAAGCTTGTCATGCAGGAGTCTTGAGGACGTTGTCACTACTGGCTAAATACCAAAGAAAGTCAATGTCTTGAAAAATAATAGTTAAAAAAAAAAAGTCCTTGACAGGAACAAAAAAACAAATATCAGAAGAATTCTCAGACGATCCACTTGGCATTTTCCGTTCCTTCAAAACTGAATGAACAACTCTGTAACAACTTCCTGTGTCCTGCACCTGTCAGTCGCTGCCTCCCATGGCTGGTTACAGCTGCTTGTCACTCTCCTTCTTCAGCCGGCTGAAACACAAACGACAACGTATTAATATCGTATTTTATCTAAATGTTATTTAGTCCAACGGCTGTTGTTTATCTGACCTGTAGTAGTCCTCCTGGCCAGGCATGGGTCCTCCGTGCATGTGATGGTGTCCGTGGAGCCACTGCTGCTCCATGGCCAGCCTCTGGAGCTCGGCAGACTGGGCATGCATGGCCTGCAGCTGGTGGGCTGCGGACATTTGCGGTGGCAGACCTCCTTGTAGTTCTCGCGGGTATGGAGTACCTGGAGGAAGGCACACGCAAATGATTCGATGGTGGGATCTGGCAGAGCTCGGATTGATAGATCGGATGCGATGTTGCCGTTAATGAGAGACGATATTTTGGCAAGAGAGCCTACCGAAAACCGGGTGGCGAAGCATCTCGTGTTCTTGCGGATGCTGGCCGAGGAGAGCGTTGGGGATGCCGCCGTGCGGGTAAGGGAAGCGTGCCAGGTGAGGGCCTCCTCCAAGGGGATCTAATGCCAGGGGATGGCCCCCGGAGCCTGGAGGACACACAAGACATTCGCCACCTTCTGGCGGTCAGAGTCTTAGGTTCAGGGTACACTCATTTTACGACATCACAGACAGCGCATGCCACAGGCAACAGAACAGTGATACACAGCATAATATAATGTTACTCCTCTCAAGGTTGACGAAAAGAGTGCAGGGATGACTTTACTATATTTATCCACAGTACAGCATCTGCTGGCTCTATCAGACGTTTAATGAGGACATAATATGCTTAAATCCAGGCTCGTATGTCAATGCCGTACATTACTACAGAGACAAAATACGAGGTGGAATTTCAGATCATATGGTAAAGATGAAAAGATGGAAAAGGTGGAAAAGGAATTATCATTAATTCAAAGTCCCTTCTGTTCACTCTGCACTGTTATGAGAGAAGTATCACATAGATGTATCATTGTATGTACAGACAACTTGATTCAAATGAAAGCACAGGATACATGACAAATATTAATGTCTTAAGTTCTTACTGTACATTATTTAACTTGCACATAACACATCAGGTGACCCTAGTTCCTAAGCAATTAATCCGTGGAGTGCCCCAAGGTTCTATTCTTGGGCCTTTAGTATTTTTGAATTATACTATAATATTTATATTTACCAACGTTTATATAAAGATATTTTTCTTATGTTTGTGCTGATAATACAGATCTCCCTTTCCGTGTAAAAATGTTGAAGTAAAAAATATCACACAATAAAACATTCAGAAAATGAAAAATCTTAACATTACCTTCCAATTTGCAAACTATTTTCCAAATAAATTTAGGACAAAGCGACAGCATGTAGTTTTCCCAAAATTCATGTTTTAGAGTACAACCCTTAACGTTTGTTATCAATTGATAATTTATATATATAGAGAGTTGTTCAATATGTCAATAAGTGGTACAATGGCATTTGCATGTATGTACTGTACACGGGGCTTCTCTGTACCTTGGTGAAGAGGATCTTGCTGGTGGAGGTGGAGATGGGAGTGAATATGCGAGTGCTGGTGGTGGTGCGGCGTGACGTTGAACATCTGCAGACGGGCAATGGGATCGTTGGCCATTGTGGCCATCCTCTCAGCATGGAGTCTCTCTGCAGCCAACCTCTCTGGGTAGCTCATTTCTGCCCGCAGCTGGGGCCCAGCAGCGAGGGCCAGCCGCTCACGCTCTAATGGGTTCAGGCCCGGATGGAAGGCGGCGAAAGGGTGATGGCCGCCCATGTGGGGCAACGTGATGGCCCCATGCCGGGCAAAGTGCTCCATGGGGTTTGTGGAAGGGTGAAGTGTGTCCATCTCTGGAGGCTTAATCTCAAAACCAGGTTTCATCCTTTCTCTCAGCTCCCTCTCACGAATCTCCCTCTCGCGCATCTCCCGTTCTCGCAGCTCGCGCTCCCGCATGGCCGGGTCGGCATTGTACAAGCTGGGCATGTGATAGGCCAGCAGCGGGTCTCCAGGGTTGAGGGACACGAAGAACGGGTGGTTTCGGTTGGTGGGGGACATGACGTGGGGTCGGGCGTACTCGCTGAGGGTCCGCAGGGCAGGGGTGTCGGGGCCGATGTACGGAGGCACAGCTGCGATAGTAGTGGGTGGGCCGTCATAATGTTGACGCATGTGGGCGTGGGTGTGGCCAGCCATCTGAGCTTCACACATCCTGCCCTCATGAGAGGAACTGGAGGCTTTCTGTGAGGAGAGGAACGCCATGTTAAGTGAGATTTTAAAAAGGCAAAAAATGAACCACTGGCAAACAAAAGGGAGACAAACAAAACCACTTACCGCAGCTCGTTCGGCATCTTTTTCTCGTTCCCGATCTCGTTCCCGCTCTCTTTCCCTTTCCCTCTCTCTCTCCTTCTCTTCCCTTAGTTTCTGCTCCGCTTCCCTCTTGGCTTTCTCCAGAGCTTCCTCTCGCTTCTTGGCTAGTTTAGACGAAGCCAGTGGCGTGAAGTAGTAATCTGTCCTAGCACACGAGTTGTAACCCCGGTCCAGGTGCTTGTAGAACCTGTGGTCATGGTAAAGAGATACAAAATTCAATATTTACTTATTCAATATTAAAATAGAAAGGATGTTCCAGTTCATGAATTCATTCTTGTTCCAAACAAAACAAATGAGGCTAGAGAGACATTCATGTTTGATTCAGCCTGTTAAATGGCAGGATAATGTCCCATTAGAAGAAAAGACAGCTTATTTATTTAGCCAACACTGGTCCATTATTCACAAGGAAACAAACTCCCTTGGCAATCACTTTTGCTGCTATGTTGAGTATGTATTAAAACCCTCATTGCTGTTCATTGGCAGTCTGAGAGCCACTTAAGGACAAGGCAACTACAGATACTCATATTCAGATGCCTCAGTTTACTCGCATCTCACTGTAATTAATCTCCCTGCTCTCCATCCCCGATAATTCCTCGCCATGAGCCCCTCAGAGCTCAGGGCTAATTGTGGCCTTGGATGCCCGTTTTGCTGAGGGCATTTGATTTGTTGTTTACATCAAAGCCTTAAAATCTGAAGGCAGAGACTCTTTGTTGTTGGATGTGTTTGAGAGCTAATCAGCATCCCCAGACAAGACAGTAAGCAGCTCAACACACAACTGATAAATAACAGCTTGCGCAGGTGTATGTTTTCCCCTTTTTACGGAAAGTGTTTGGGTAGAAATTGGTGTTTGCAGACATACCGTGCTGACTGGCTGGCATGGCTGGGCGTATTGACAATGGTAGGCTCCGGGGAGGGGCTTCTCTGCGGGGGCGGCGGGCTCTCTGGCTCTTCCGTCTCATCCAGAGGCTCCTCTTTGATTTGTACAGGTGGGAGTACTGGGCCCTGGCCGGCACAAGTGACAGAGGCAGGCAGCGGCATGGAGATGGAGGTGGGTGGCGCGGAGGAAGATGGAGGCTGAATGCCAGGCATAGAGTTTGACGAGGATGGGGGAGGGCCGGTCGGAGGTAGAACTGTATTGAAAGGGTGAGACGAGAACGGCGGCTGCGGTGGCCCGTTGGAGTGTGAGGCTGCTGCGGAGGGCGGCAGAGGAGGAGCCGGAGGAGGTTGGTGGCTGGCTGACGGTGGGAGGCTCTGGGACTGAGTGAGAACTGGAGGCTGCGCTGGGGGAGGCTGGAGCTGCTGCCCCTGAGGCATGAGCTGTAGGGGAGGCGGGTGTGCTGATGGAGGATGGTGTGTGGATAAAGAGCTGAGGGGCTTGAGGGCAGGTGGCGGCGGCAGGTTTGAAGGCATCTGAGGGAATGGAGGTGCTGACGCGTGCGGTGGGTGTTTGTGGGACTGTGGGTTGGGCATCTGAGGGATGGGTGTGGTTGGCGGGGGCTTGATGTGAGGCATGGACATTGGGGCAGGGGGAAGGGGCTGCTCTCTGGGAGGCTGGCCACTCTGAGCAGATGACTGGGATTGGGAAGGAGGAGTGTGCGGCCTTTGCTGTGACTGGCCACAGAGTGGCAGGGGCGGGACCTGAGACTGACCCATTGGGAAGCCCTGAGGGGGCATAGAGAGAGGGTGAGGCATGTGTGGGGGCCCAGGCTGCAGCGGATGTGGCAAGGGAGGCATCAGCCCATGATGCGAGCTGGGTAACGATTGAGGTGGGACTGGGGGGCCAGGAGGTGGAGCCTGAGTCAAAGGTGAATGTGGAGAGGGGAGCCTTTGAGGGTGGAGGGATGCTCCTGACTGGATAAGAGACATAGGGCTTGCCAGGGGCAGAGGCTGGGGAGGTAGAGAGGTGGAGGCCGCTATGGGGCAGACCTGTGGGGGCAATAAGGGGGCTGAGGTTGTAGGCGGAGCCGAGGAGGCGGATGAGGTGCCTGGCTGACACTGGATGACTGGAGGGTGCTGGCTCTGCAGGAGCTGCTGCTGCTGGGCGGACGAGTCTGAGTCGCTCTCATTGTCGCGGGGGCTGGGGATGCTTGGGGAGGAGCTTCGGTTGTCCTGGTCAATGTCTTTAGGATCGCTACTGAGCTCCTCATTGATGCTGCGCCCATCAGAGCTCTCACCCTCGCCCTCTCCTTCCCCTTCGCATTCTGAGGGCGAGTCTGGCCGACTCAGCTCCTGAGGGAAAGCGGGGAGAGAGCGATGAGTATCATAACACAAGAGCATTCCATTGAAACACATCCGAACAGAAAAACAAGAGAACTCAGACTCACTTGTGTCTTGGACTTTTTGGCGCTGGCCCTCTCGGGCTCCTCTGTGTCCGAAGCTCCCTTCTCTCGCTGCCGTTTGACACTCTTCATAGGTGAAGGAGCCTCCTCTTTAATCTTCTGTGGAGCCAAAAGCGGCACAGCCATTAGGGTACATTTCACAGAGATACGTGCACAGAAAAGCAAATGTTTACGAGCAGTCTATGCTGCGTTTACCTTGCTGGGCTTCTTCATGGAGTCTGTCTTGCTGTCTGTGCTGTCAGTACTTGCTGCGCTGGGAGAGGTGCGTCCGCTGGAGCGCAAGTCCTCGTTGGTAGGCGAGGTTCTGCCATCAGGACTGGCTGTCTGCTTCTTACGACCACTACGTAGCGTCGACATCTGATATAAACAAACATGAGTCAACATGAATCATGATCAATATTGACTGAAGATGGACTTACACCACACGCAAGTCCAAATCCTACTTTTTCTAAACATTTGTATAAAGCAATATTTCTGAAACAATGGATGTCAAAACTCTCGCTGCACTACTTGTCTAGAGATGATAAGCTTTTTGCTTTGTGGTCTGGCTCAAGGGATGACTTTGAGGCTATGATTCCTGAAGGTGAAAATAGAGGGATAGATGAGAGTATGCGCACCGAGCCTCTGTTCCGTCGGGTCCTCATGCTATGCTTCCCGCTGAGTCCATCCTCTTCCTCTTTGACAGGTTTGAACATAAATGGCGGCGGGTCCACGGGCTTCTCGATGGGGGGCAGCTCACCGTACTTCTTGAAGTGAATGCGGCAGTCTGTGCACAGCAAGATGTTCTCCCGACCCCCGTGGTGCCAGTCCTTGGAGGCTGAGGAAAGCCATTTACAGTTGTGAAATAGCACATTCTCACAGGCAGTAAGAAGTACACACAGACATGATCTCAGAACTACAATAATATTGTTGAAAACAGAGAATGTCATTAAGTAACTGTGTAGTTTAACATCCAATGATAGATATTACTTTTCATGAATCAATGATAACGTGGGACTCTGTCCTCCGCTAAATACTGTAATTACATTTTCAGTAGTGTACTAATAAGGTCTATATGGGTTAAGTTATTAGCCACCTTGGTTGAGATGGCAGTAACCTAAGTGTGATCAGATGGGAGCGCGGCACTGGGAGCCAGCTGTGTGGATAGAGGGGTAAGGATAATGAGGTGGCGAGAGTGAACGCGCTGTGGGCTCGTGTCTGATTTGATCAAATTTGTCCCGACATCTTCTGATGGCCATCTGTCACACACAGTGCTGGGCGGGTGCACACCCGCACTGATCCTAATCAAGACAGGAACACCAAAGTGAGTCCATACGACCAGTACGAGTGACTGTAAGTGTGGAGCGTGACGACTTACTGGTAGTGAAACAGTGGCGGCAGGCGTAGCCCTTCAGCTCCTGTTCGCTGTCTTCACTGTCAAAGTCATCTTCACTGGCTGAGCTGAGGTCCACTGGAAGAGAGAGAAAAGAAAAAAAAACATTTCACACGAATCCCTCCGACACCAGAACATATCAGGTCATCTCTCCGCCTTTCCCGTCTGGCTTCCATGGACGAGGTCAAATATACGTACAGAACTCGCTGGAGGGGGGGCGTGAGGGAGTGTTGACAGGAGTTGAAGCGGTTCGCGTCTTGATGCGACGGAAGACGGGCTGGCGGCGGTGTCTGCGGTGGGCTCGACAACTGGCTGCCTCGGGGGTCTTCTTCCAATAGTAGTAGAAGGTAATGAGCTCCCCCTGAAATGACAAAGAAAGGAAAATTCAGTTAAAACGGGACAAATATATCACAAGAACACAAACGGGAGGAAGAATGAGGGGGAGGCATCACTTTGACTGCAAAGATGTGTCTGCATTAAAAAGGTAAATGTATCCAAGTTGCTGGAAATAGTCACTGTGAAATATCTGCAGTTAGGTTGAATAAAATATGCGGAAAATACACATTAGCAGTCAGCGAAGCGTTTCATTGTGAAAGGCCGTGGAGTGGGCAAATCCATGCCAGGATTTGTGGCTGGCCGGGCATGTTTATGCTGTGGCCCTGTCTGTCCCGGGATTAGGCGAGGAGGCTCACTGAATGCAGGGATATTAGGATCAGTGCATTGGTGGCTGCCTGGGTGGCAGGAGCTTGAATGGGAACAAAAGAACATGTCAGGCAGAGCTTTGGCGCTACAAATAGGGAGTGAAATGGCTCCTCGCCCCTTCACTGGAAGAGTCAATTGAACTTCAATCAAACATTTGGAGGGGCGCGCTTGCCAGAGAGCGAGGCGGATAAATCCAGTGTACAAAAGGCCGCCAGGAAATCAATACCCAACTGAAACATTAACACACGCAATCATGGATCAGAAAGCACTTTGCTGAGGCAGCGGGTGCATATTAACTGCCGCTTTCCGGCCACACTCATAATACACAAGCCGTGGAAATTGACGACAGGAGTCGGGCACCGTTATGTAGTTTCCTGTGGGGCTTTGCCCCGTTCTCCCTCACCCGTGGACCCTCACTTGTTAGCGGTCCTACGTCGGCTCTATAACAAATTCATGAAGGTGTGGTGCGACTGTTGGGCGAGCAGTAAGTCACCTGTAATCTTCACAGCCCAGAGGGCACCCATCCACTGTCTGAGGTCTGTTAAACTGCTGTTCAAGACAGCTCCCAGGGTTTAATGGCCATCGATTGTTTTCCTTCGGCTGAGAAACTTGACATAAATTAGTCAGTGCATTGCTCTCTATAAATGCATTAACAACTTAACATCTTCTCTGAAAATGTTCCAAAACAAACAAATGGCAGGAAAGGATATGATGAAATGGTGCACGAAGTGGCTATAAAAAGCTCTTTTAACAATAAGAGAAAATAAAATTGAGTCACAGCCAGCGATTTCAAAAGTACAATATTCTGGTATTAACAGAAACGTAAAAGGTAACTGCAGCTTTAATTTAGTATCGCATGAAATGCAAACTACTCGAGGCGTGCTGGTTTCTTTTTGTTTGCTGTGAGAAAACAAAGGTCAGGGATTGGCCAGTGTTTGCTCCTTCATCACAAATGAGTATCCGACATTAAGGAACGAGTCAAGTCTTTCTCAATCACGGCTTTGATTGGCAGAAACAGCTCCACTCTGGGGGCTTAGGCTTGGGTAATAACATTTCCCTTCATGTGGTTCTTAGGGGGAAAGTCATATCTCCCAGTGGCCGTAGGAGTCCGTCTTATCGGGCGAAGCAGTGTTGGGAACATTTACTGAGAGTAGCTGAGCTCGATGAAACCCTCTCAAATTTCAGGGTAAATTAAGGTGCTGCGCCGTCTTATGGCAAAGCCAGCGCTCCAGAGCAAAACTGTCCCAAGCCCCACAGCTCGTGCCAGGGCTTTTTAGACGGTTGCAGATGAGCACATCTGGAGTACTGGGAACGATTCCACATGTGGAAGCTCAGCAGGGACAAATCAGTAGAACTCCTTTAAAATACAAAACAAAAACAGTCGGAGGAAGAAGGAAAGATTAACCCTCTATTTCTGGAACATTAAAAGTAATTTCTATTAAAATATAAATAATAATAATAATAGTTTTCCGCCATGGTTATGGCAAGAAACAGAGCAGCTAATGATATTAGATGATTATATCACCCCCCCAAAACAATTATTTTATGTTGCCGTGCGTTTGAGCTTCTATTTCAGGCTTGCAACAGAACTTTCTAGTTGTTTCCTGCCTCTTCAGCCTGACCGGCCACATGGGCAGGCAGGGCGCAGGTGCTAACTGAGGGAAGGCAGGCGTCCTGATGTGAAATCTAATTGAAATGCGCAGATCAAAAGTGTCGAGTGGTGCCGAGCGCTGGCTCTGCTCTGCACTTAATGACTGTTCTCAGCAGTGCCTCTCTGCCTCCTCGCTGCAGGCCGACAACTGCGCGGCCTCAACAATAGCTTGGCCGACACAGGGAAAGGTCACCCTGCCTCTCCATCACTTACACTGTGTCAAGTACCGCTACATTGGGCTAGGGGCTAATGAAAACATTAGCCTGGGCTTTTGAATGGGAATTAACAGGTGCACTGATGAGCTGGTAGAGCCGGGTGCAAAATGGAAAGGGGAAAACAAAAAAGGAGCAGATTTTATTAATTCACTTGAGTTGAAAAGTCACTGCTGGTAAAATAAATAAATAATAAAAAGCAAGAAGAAATGCTTACTACAAAGAAAGCAAACTTTTTGTAATGCTTGAAAATATATTTTACTTTAACAGTTCATGAATACAAATTCTGAATACAGTCGCACTGACAAAGTGTTGCTGAAGATTGAAGACTTTCAATGTGCGGTGGAGTTATGATGTCTGTAGATGAACATGGACATGGGATGTGGTCGAGAGAGGCTTTGTGCTGTAGATTAATGTCAAAGAGAGATTGACAGATTATGTCTCTCAGCCCACTTGCACGTCAAATGTGGTTCCCCGAAAGTCGCACATGTCCGACCACTCACACCGACTGCGTACGTTTCTCTCTGAACGTCACTTTGTCATGCTGCCAAATGCCCACAGCAACACTTTAGCTTTCATCACCTTGTGTTTCTTCCCCACGGTTAGGTGTTTAGCCAGCGAGTTTTTATGTACTTATTGAGGCTGCAGAGCAAAGTTGCCGTTTCTAAATAAAATGAAGACGACAGTAAAACGGAAAACGTCCCACGAACCCGCATCTAAAAACAGCTCAGCGGTATCCGCTAGAAATTCATGGAAATACCTGAAACATAAAACTGGATAGGCCCTGGCCTCCGCACCGTAATTTCCCCCCAGTGCTGTAAATCACTGCGGAGCGGTACAGAGTGTGCTGCCGCTCCGCACTACATGAGATAGTGACAACATAAGCTCAGTATTATAAGGCCTTTTAGACTGCTTCCATCTGCAGGAGCTTTCTGGCCAGTGGATTATCCGACAAGGAAAGGGCTTACCCTCCTATCACAACACTCAGGGCTACCATTCCAGTTATTGCCACTTAAAATGGTCGTCTACATACGTGTGTGTGTGTGTGTGAGAGTGAGAGTGAGAGAGAGAGAGAGAGGGTTCAAGATTATGGAAAGCAATGTCAACCATCCGTAAGAAACAAGTTCTTCATCATTTGTGCTCTTCTTCTAGTTATTGTAATAAGCATAAATTAATTTAGAAATAACCTGAACTCTTTAGAGTAATAGCTGAAAATTGTATTTTAAGTCTTTTGCTAGCATATAAATACAGTTTTTATATTTATCTATATAGATATAAATTAAGTTAGGAGGTTAAAGTGCATTTTAACCTCATTCAAATAAAATTAGATTTCATTAATGGCTTCGTGCACTTTGTAACAGAAGTCAACAGGTTTTGTACTCCGTCACTGAGTCGTAAACCGTCTTATGTGAGATTTAGACTGAATAAGGTTAACCGTGAAACCTCCGTGGACCACAGTTAAATTGCGGGTGGGAGTGCCGGTCGAGGCTGAGTGGGAGTGCAGGATCCTCCGCTGGGCTCGGTGGTCCTGTGTGCGCGGGCAGGGCTGAGGGCTAAACTTGTGTATTTACACCCTCATCCCCTCTCAGGCCCAGGCCTGAACAGATGGTTTCTGTTTTTCCTGGCAGATTTGTGACAGAGCCACAAAAGGCCCCTGCTTTGACATGAAGCCAAACGGTTAAGGCCGTTACTGGCAAGAGCAAGGGGAAGGAGGACAGAACAGGGGAGAGTTGAGGAGGGGGAGGGCCGAGTGTGCAGAGGAGAGCCGAGAGGGAGGCCGAAAGAGCCAGTAGAGGATAACAATGGACAATCGACATTGAATCTAACCACAACCCTTCCTGAAAAAAATAAAATAAAAGAAAAACCTCTCTGCAAATAAAAATCTCTGCTTAAAACTTAAGGCTCTTTAGCGGCAGCGCGCAGGGAGCATGTGATGTCTGGGTTCTGCTGGCTGATAGTGAGTCGTGTAAACATCCATTAGTGCAGTGTGAACCTGTGCTCCCTCCTGCTTCCTCCACAGTCTGCAGCCGGAGGAGGGACGACCGCTTCCCGATTCATTTCTCTTAGCTAAATCAAACCACGGTTTAATTATGTATGTGCTCGACCCCTGGACTTGGTTTTCTTCGCCGGCCATGACGGCTTGTACAGTGTATCGTTTCACTGAGTGTTTGACCGTAACTGTGCGGGGCAACTCTGTACACGCTAATGTGGTTAAATAGGTCAGATTCGTATTCGCGATGCCTGCCGGGCCATATGACGCTTCCCTAAGTGGAAAAAAGCACACGCCTCCTTATCTTGAGTCTTTTGACATTAATATGTTGAACCATAAATTAATGTTATCTTTATATGATACAGATGACATTAAAAATATTCCGTGGGAACTTGGAATATAAAAAATATTCCAGCAAATGTACAAGGTCTCAGGTGAATACCAGGTCAAATTAAAATGATTTTCTCTGTTCTCTTTGGACTTCAGAGAGTTTTGGCGACTGAATAGTGAAAGGGCCTTGGCTGGTGGAGCAGAGTGCATGTGAAAGGCGGTTAAATGGACAGCCGTTCCCTGCTGCGCGGCGCCTTTCTGCTGGAGAATGACTGAATAAGCTCTGCTTTCACAGGTCGGGGATGCACATGCTGAAGAATCAGCACTCGTGTTTCTCCTGCTGTAAGCGCTTTTGCCAATGAAAGCAGATTGGATGGCAACAGTGCTTTTTTTTTTTTCTTGCTGGAGGGCCGATCCTGCGTGTTCGGCTGATAAGCTAGTCCCTCAAAAACCACGACGTGAAGCTTACCAGAGAACTCAATTACACAGGGAGCTCCGGCTCTCCGTGCTCCATCTATTCGGCTGAAAAAAAAAAAAAGGGGAGAGATTTTGCACCACACTCCGCCGCGCTAAATTGCCTGTGGTCTACTAAAAGAACATCAATACGCGCTGGTTGAGCTTCCATCCGCCGACAGCGATTCCATTGCCTAAACAAGTCATATCATTTACCAAACACCAAAGCTGTTCTGCCACACTACTGACAGCTGCTGCCAACTGGACCAGGCCCCTGTAGTTTGTAGCTGGTTTAATTAGTGTTTGAACCAAAGTATTTATAATCACAGTCATCCCCAAGGTTCTGGCTGCTGAGCTAAGGACATGGCAATGAATTCAATTTGACGTTTGTACAGATTGTACCGGGGCAAACATCTGCTGCGAGGTTGTGTTGAGAACACTGTTCTCCTGTTGGCCATCCTGTAAATGACAGGGCCTGGGGAGGGGAGGGGGGGTAGAGAGCTCCCTTTTCTCAGAGAGGACAAGATGCTGCAAGAGCCGCTCAGCACATCACACCGCCTGGTTAGTCTGAGTGTCGACACAAGCAGGGCAGCGTTTTTTAAAAACCAGACACACAGCTCAGGTCAGCCATATGCCCACGGCTCCTGCAAATCATGAACGTGCTCGACAGTCACAGTGACGCTTGTGCTTCACCTGCCACAGAAAATCACAAGAGGCTGATAAATAAAGACACAAATGCTACTGAGAATAATAGCTATATATTTATATTTGTTTTTATGATTGCTGCTACTTGCCCAGCTGTTGGAATCAAACTGTTTGCCATCGGAGGACACTTGTTTGACTTGTGACGTCAACAAAGACCAAGAACACACAGAGCAACTGTTTTTTCCACCTGCCAAAAACAAAGCAGGAACCAGCAGCACGAAAGTGTTGCTGTGAATCATTTTAATGTTTGAATTGTTCCTGTCCCGTAACTTTGCATGACTTGCAGCTGATGTTTTGCTGTGAAAAATGTGCTGACTTAAACGGCAGTAGGTTCATATAAACAAACTTAAAAAAATAATAATAATTAATGTCTAAATTCTTCACAAATTTTAAAAGTAAGACAAAATTACAATTAGTTAAGTGTTCTGGTGCTAATGCAAATTCTATGCGGGTAACTTGAATAGTTAAACATGGAGTAAAGAGAATAATGGAGCCTGGAGGTAAACATGAACTGATACACGCAGCGAGCCTTTGTTCTCTGCCTGTAAATTGTTTTCCATTTCTTCATCTACTTTATTAGATTATAGTTGCTCTGCGTTCTAACGTGAAACATTTTTATGACCCATAAATACACAACACACCGATATGAGACTATAAAGTAAACAAATGAGTTGTATTTTCATGCAATTTATAACTCTCTCATCGGACACAAAGACAAGCTGTACCGAACACAGTGGCATGAACTGATTTTTTCAGTGTTTTATGTAATTCCCAAAATGGTTAAATAATAGCTTCTTATTTGCAGTGTAATATCTTCACGTGTAATTTGCAAGTGAACTGCAGTACTTTATTCCACCAATGAAACGGTTTGGGCTCAGTCCTGTATGGAAATAAGGCAACGCTTCCTAATTTGCTCTCATTTCCGACGGTCAATTTCTCCGTTTGGCTGCACAGCAAACAGAGCTCGAGCTGATACAAATCTGCTCAGCAAATACTTTGCTGTTGATATCCTCTGTGCGCTTCTTGTGAAAACCCCTCCAGTGAAAAATATCAAGAGCAGAGTTATCTGCGAGCTGCCAGTTCAGCATATTTAGTTGTTTAAACACTGGAAGCAGCGAGCTCATGTTCCATGACGTCCCTCCCTTGAGTGAAGCAAATGGTGGCAGCGAAGCTAGTTGCAGACGGTCAGGCGACACACCCACTTCCCCCCGCTCTCCGGGCCTTTATGTTACTTTATATAAAGCATTCCTGAGTACTAGTCGGGCCCGGTGTGTTTACACAGCGCTGGGTACTGGGTGTTTGAGCCGCGCTGGCACTTCAGGGGCAGTGCGGCTAATAAGGGCGAGCAGGAGGAACAGTGAGGGGCAGACACGCTGCACTGGACCTCTGGACATCAGCCCCAAAGGGCTTCTACGCTCTACACTCCGGCTCCACAACCAGGACTTAGGGCAGCAACTCCCTCATTTCTGCAACATGCTTCTTCTTTTTTATACTGGAGATAATGGGAAAATCTTTGTTGTTTTCGAAGGACGTAAAATAGATAGGATTTGGGAATGAGCAGGTAGAAAAATGAAATGAGCTTTCCTCGGGTATTGACTCGCTCAGATAAGTCGTTCAGCACAAAAGCAAGTTCAATCATAAGCAAAAGAGTATTTTTTTCCCTATGCGACGACAACCCAGGCTGTTTAGTGTCCCTATTGAGCTCATGCCCCATGTTGCCCCTTCTCCTCTCATCACGGCTACCCTCCCCATGCTCTCCCAGTCATTTTCCTCTCTTTTCATATGTTTAAAGGGCAGTTTATTTTCCATTTGTAGGGGGAAAATGAATCTCTCTCTGCTCTGTGGTGGTGGCAGGCCTAGATCCTGGAGGAGCTCTATTACCTCTCCTGCCAAGTAGACTCCCCCTCCAGGTTGAATTATATTAATACCTCCTTTATAGCCAATCAACCGGACGAGTCGTATATTTCAAAACCACTGAAAATAATTGAAGAAACCTCTGCGAGGGGGAAACCGTGTTCATACACTTTAATCTCTTATTCAAGAGGTTCAAATTGGTTTGGAGGAATAAAAAAAAATGTAGCACAAAAGGAGGTGACACCGAAGAGCTCCTGAGTAAAAATATAACATGATATTTAGGGAGTGTTTGAGGAGCAGGGCCGACACATCTTCAGCTCACAGCAGACAAGGAAATGAAGTGGCGGGAAGTATGACAAACACCTATGATTTCCCTTTGATGTCTGTGTCATCACTGCATCGGCACACTTCCAGCAGGAGCAGCCTCGCAGAAACGGCAAGCTCTGCACGGCTTTGTGAATAAAAAAAAAACCGCATATCTAAGAATAATTTAGCAGCTAAGTCAAAAGGTGTGGAGGACTTTGAAGCAACATGTGCATGTACAGCATGTTCCCGTTATTGCCAGTTATAGTAGAGATCAAAAATAAAGCACTTCTCAGGCTCTTACAGTTCTCCTTGTGCAGATATAATGAGAAAAAGAATTAAATAGAATTAAAAAGACAAACAACATTAAGTCTATGTGGTTGCTATGTTTGGTTTTCAACATAATCACATTTAATAAGGTTGACTGTTGTTTTTTTCCTTGTTAGTCCAGGATTCGACTCAGTTGTACCATGAAGAAAGTCACACACTTGTGCAGTAATGATTAACTAACACACACACACACACACACACACACACACACACACACACACACACA